AAAGAAAAAGGAAAGTTCACAGGAATTAAATTTCATAAACATTGCGCATGCCACCTATACGGTATTTATCAATGGAGGTCTCTATGATAGCGATACGCGCATGTCGTGGACATTGTGCGAGAATGGGAAAGCGTGTCCGTTTTTTTGTTATAGGAGTGAGAAGACATGAGCCCCTGAACGCTGGCGTACTGATGGGAGGGGGGGGGGGGGTGATGTATTTCTTATTCAAAACAAGTGATTTATAAATGTTGATGTTGTGACATGATTTTCCGGCATTTTTTCTCCATTTTCTTTTGTAAGTCATACCTTTTTATGCGTTTGTTGGAAAATAAGAAATTCCCAAATTACAGTCAGGCGAAATACGCTTATTTAGAAGCCTTTATGTCATGGTCTGCAAAGTGGCTGGGCCCGAGCCCCCCCCCCCCCTCCTTTTTGAAAAAGAATGTTAAAGAGAAAAATAAAGAAAGACGGAGAAAAAAATAAGTGACCTGCCAATGTCACAAATAAGGTATAAAAAATGCTCATCTGACCGTAATTAAATGCTTAAAACCCCAGAGCTTACGGGGGCTCCGCCCCCGTACCCCACAAAGGGACCTAAGGCGGGCCCCTGGATGCTCATCTGACCGTAATTAAATACCTAAAACCCCCTGACCTTCCAGGGGCTCTGCCCCCTGGACCCCACCAAGGGCCCTAAGGCGGGCCCCTGGATGCTCATCTGACCGTAATTAAATGCTTAAAACCCCAGAGCTTACGGGGGCTCCGCCGCCGTACCCCACAAAGGGACCTAAGGCGGGCCCCTGGATGCTCATCTGACCGTAATTAAATACCTAAAACCCCCGAGCTTCCAAGGGGCTCTGCCCCCTGGACCCCAACAAGGGCTCTAAGGCGGCCCCTGGATGCTCATCTGACCGTAATTCAATACCTAAAACCCCTGACCTTCCAGGGGCTCTGCCCCCTGGACCCCCACCAAGGGCTCTAAGGCGGGCCCCTGGATGCTCATCTGACCGTAATTAAATACCTAAAACCTCTGAGCTTCTGGGGGCTCCCCCCCCCCCTTGGAACACGTCAATTGCCTTACAGAGGGCCCCAGGATGCTCATCTAACCGTAATTAAATACCTAAAACCCCTGAGCTTCCGAGGGCACAGCCCCTTGACCCTCTGCCGAGGCTCATGCCCTGAACCCCACGCCAATTTACGCTCTACCTGATGGATAATACTCCACATGGAAAAACGCTCCGCTGGACCTGCATGTAACGTGTAAGACTGGTGGTGATGCAGATTTTTCGTCTGCCCCCCTTTTTTTCTCATTACGTCACTGCCCCTGGAATGCGGGCCCCCTGGAATATTTGCCCCCACCCCCCCCCCCCCATCCCAAACTGCTTCCGGCGCGCCTGAGTACGAGTTAACATAACTTATTGGAAATCAAAGAAAACCAAAAATGCTATTATTATGGTGAGACTCAAGTGAAATTTGAAGTAATCCTGATAGCAGAAAAGGATAGTCCATGCCTAGCCTTACAAGAAATAATAATTTAAAAAGAAGACTTACGCTTTCATAAATGTAGCGGCATTTTCATATCATTGTTTTCTTTTCTGTTATTATTTTTGTTAATTGCAGTATTGGCGTTTCCATCATAGGATGGGGTGGAGTCAGTGCACACTCAAACCCCGCCCCTCCAAGGGTAACAACACTCCACAACAATTTCTTTTTTTAAGGAACCGGTTTCGTATTAATATACCTCTTCGGTTGTGATTTTTTTTTTTTTGTAAAATCAATATATTGATAAATATATGCTTTTTAACAAATCAAACAATCATACACAATAAATTGAAATAACATCGTAGCATCTTCGGTTGTTACAATATTGCTTTTGGCATTGTTCTTTGTTGGATATATTTCAGAGTTTTTTTGCCGAACTATGTTATATATTGTTTCAGTTATTTCACCCTTTTCGTCATTTCATAATAATAGACTTTTAAAAATTAAACGTTTCCCGATCTTGTATGATCTTGTTAACGCAAGTGCAACAGCACTGTTTTGATAGTGGGATGACCCCGGAGATACTCACGAGACAGATCAATGGGGAAAACCTACTATTATCAGTTTAATGAAATTTTGAGGGAAAGTGAACAAAGTTTTTTTTTCATTGTGAAATATTTTATTAAAGTGAAGTGGCGTTTCTGCAACAATAATTTCATCAAGCTTCATTGAAAATAAATACTCTCATCATGTGTTGTAGGGTTCGTACTCCCATCATGATAATCTATTCAGCTGAGGTCAGAAATATTTACTCCTGCCAAGCTAAACCATGGACCTTGCGTAGGGTCCATGGTTAAACCTGACCGTCAGAGGAGGTCAAGTGACAACACGATGATTGGAATCACGAGTTGTTAATTGGCAAGGCATGGGATTCGATCATCATTACGTAATATGAATTTGCAAACATTTGGAAGGATGAGACGCTTGTTTACTTCTATCTCAGACCTTGATTACAAGCAAAACAAAATGAACACACTTCGTTAATATAGGACTTATCTATCAGTCGACTAATCATTCAATTCAACTCGATATATTACTTGTCCAATGTACGTTCAACGTGGAAATTTGTTTCGCTCACATGTATATAGACACAATTAAAAAGAAAGGCTCAAGCCTGGCCGGAATACTCCCCAGGGAGGGGCGCTTGGGCACTATCACGTGACGATTAGCAATTAAGACCGGGCTAATGATAATTATAATGTAAAGTGCCTAGAAAGGTAGTATTAATCGCTACACAAATGCGAATGTTTATAATTTACAATGAACAGACCTGATATAGGATACAAAACAATCTGGTGATGACAAAGTGATAATCATACATAACATTGGTTTTTGTTTGGTTATGGCTTGTTTCGTATCTTTATGTTATATTATGTGATTAAGCTGGTCCTCTAGGAAAACACTGCTGGTTATTTGCATAGGCAGAGTATGATGGGCTTTGAATTCGAACCTTACATATAGCTTAATAGAGGCTTACTATAAAAGCCCCTAGAGTATTCCTTTAAAGACTTTGATCGTTACTAAATCATTTATTTACGGATGTCAGATAAACCAGTAAAGATACTCCTTCCATTATACTACACGATTTTGTGTACAAAAAAAGGCTCATCGTATTAATGAATATTGTAATAAACAAGCAAACATTTCGTATTTTGAAAGGGTAAAGTGGGAAAAAGTGGATTAAATTGAAACGAAACCCAAATCCTATCCATTTATCTTTGAAAGAAACAAAAAGCCCAGGAAAATGTAGAATCACGGATATGGCAATTGTATAACAATTCAATTTAAAACATCGTTACTTTACCAACTTATTTTGTGGTTACGTTATAAACTAATTACTAACCGAAAGGAATTGGATCGCCCGTTAAGGCCTATTAAAATATCGGTATCGATGTGTTACTTCCGATTTAATCAAATTTAATTAGAATCTAAGTAAGAGTCAAGAACATTTTATAAGATTTATAATCAGTAATCACGAGATGGAAGTAATATAAACAGCCAAGATTAGTCACGTTACTCAGGTAAGGATGAAGATAAAAATTGAAAGTGAGAATTAGGCTTGTAGAGAGTATTAAGTAATTGAATCTCTGTTTCATTGTGAAGTGTGTCACTAAAGGAGGAATTTGGTTGCCATTGTTATCTATCAAAACTGAAATCGACGAATAATTCATCGTCATTAACGGGAAAAAATGCCAAGAATCGTTTAAGCTTACAACTTGAAACAGAATCCTTTGTTTCTGCGTGTCTCTTATATTCATATACAACAATGTCATGAACACTTTTGAAAAACAACTCATCATGCACGAGGGCAAATTAAAAATACCCCATTGTGTATCCGTAGAAATCGTGTTTGGATGACGTAATACGTACGTCATTGTAATGTTTGCACGTTCAAAAGGTAACTGACTAGGTTACTGATATTGCCTTAACTTGATTTTTCGAAAGCCTTTGCGATCGTTTTAAACATATCCTCGCTCCTCTCCTAGCAGGAGGGTGGGGTTCGTTTCTACATGTATAATTTTTTTCGAATGTCAAACACAGATTGACGCATTCCATGTCGTATTTCAATTATTATAGTTGGGTCCAAAGTCAGATCGAAGAAGAAGATTCCGAGGACAGCGGATGATGATTCCCGGTCACTTGCAGAGAAAGAAATAACCCGCCCCCTCCCTCCGATTCTTTCAATTGTTTTCTCTTCCTCACTCTCTCTCTCTCTCAATCTCTCTCTCCTCTCCCCTCTCTCGTCCTCCCTGTATCGTCTCCCCTCTCTCTCTCTTTTTCTCTCTCCTCATCTCTCTTTCTACCTCTCCCCCTCTCTTCCTCTTCTTCAGCCTTCCTCAAACTTTTCTCCCCCTCTCTCCCTTATCATGTCTCAGTTTATCTATCTCACTTCTTTTCCTTCCCTCTTTAAGTTTCAGCTATCACACGAACATACCGTCCACCCTGTTTAATACACTCCAGTCTTCCCTAGTTTCTTGTTCACATTTTCTTTCCAATAGTTACCTCCCATCTCCCCATGCTGACACCGTCTTTTCATCGAAATGTTCTACGAACACTTCCTTTCAGTCCGACACTCCTCCCTATCTTTTCCTCTCGACTTTACGTATTTTCTCTTAAAATGTTCTCCTTTTTATCTCTTTTATCGCCATCAGCCTTCAGCTCGATCTCATATTCCTCTCTAGTTTCTTCATCCCAGTTTTCACTTCCATATCCTCCCTCTCAAACATAATTCTTTTTATCTCTTCAATCTCATTTCTCTCTACTCCTCCTCTACTTCCGTCCTCTTTTTTGTTCTGGTATTCCTCCCAAACCATTTGGAGTTTCTGTCGAGTCTCTTCTCTTCCACCCTCCTCCCTCCCGCTCTCTCTATCTCTCTCCACATGCTCTTACAAATTCCTATCACTCTTTTTCTTTCCATGATCCGTGAATCTTGACTTCACAAAAACAACTGGTCAGTTTTGTTTTAAAGGAAGTTTAAAAGTGTTTTGTTTCTTTTATAAATTCACAAAATATTTTCTCCAAGACCGAGATTGACATTGACATCAGCAAACATAGACTTTGAACAAAAAGACCCCTCCCCCACCCCAACTTGGTCTAATTACCCTACCTATATAATATCTTACTCTTTATATGTTTATGGCTGGCTGCAAGACAAAATGGGCCATTATATGTGTAATTTCCTACCTCTTGAATGTCAAGTCTAGAACACTATTTTCTCACATAAACTAAACTGTATCATTATAGGCCAACACAAACCGATGCATCTCGTGTTAATAATACTATGACCATTTGCTATCAAATTTGAAAATGTACCAATATATGCAAGGCAAGAGGGAAAAAATGAGGAGTACATATGAAATGTGACACACATCTTACTAATATTATATTGACTGATCAAAAAGTCTATAAAAACCTAAACCCCAAAATACCCATAGAAAATAGACAAGAAATTGAAAACATACATGTACAGTATGTCTTTTTTTGTCAAGAACAAGACAGCATATGCCTATTTGCTGATCAGTTCTTTTATTGCATCGTTCTGAATTTGCACAGACACATACCAGAATATGAATAAAGGCATGAAACCTTACAATAACCTAAACAATTGACTGACAAGAAAGAAGAGAAGAAAAAAAAATTAAAGTTGTGACCTCTACTAACGTCTACACAAAAAAGAAGTAAGAATACTGCACCTATGTAATAAAATGAAATTGAAGAGAAAACCAGATGAATCAACATGTTATAAAACCCACAGTTTACTATTTGCAGCTTTTTAACAAAATTTCTTTGAAGAAAAGCATGATTAACATTCAAATTAAATCAATTTTTTTTAAGATGAGCCTGAAAGAATGAACTCCAATATTATAATTCATATTTCTTGTTGATATAGTTTGTTTTTTCATGTATTTCTCTATCATTGTCTAAAGAATAACAACCATCTTTACAGTAATGTTTCGTACCAATCTAATGTATTACTTGTTGGTATGGGATCAAGATTGCATGCATTCACAACTGAATCTAATCAAAGGACTGTTTCACTATTTCTCAAGATAAAGCTATCAAAAAAGGGATCAATCAATGATTGTAATTTCTCAACACATCAGTATTTACCTATGGAATGTATATATGACATGACAAAGCCATGGTTAAACATGTATTTTTTTTAAAATTCACAATCAGTGACTGATCCATTGTTTTTCTTCAATTTAAATTTCTTCAAGGAGCATATCAATATCACTACCACAAAACCAGGATCTGATCTTAACATGTAACAAGTCCAACAAGACAAACTTAAAAAGACAAAATTGGGCCCTCTGAAATACTGCATACATCATTTGTTAGACAGGGAAGAATTCTATCCATAAAGCATCATCCTGATTTTGTGGTAGTGATTTTTTTCCAAATTAAATAAAGGATTTAACTTTGGGATAAGGTTTAAGATACATCAATGTTTCTTGGTCTTGAATGAAAGAGCCTCATATTTTGACTTGCTTCTGAACCAGAGGAGGAATGGAATGCCGATGGGAGCGATGGTCATAACTGCAAATGCAGCCCAATCCATCTGTAAAATAAATGAAAGAAAGAAATTAATACATTGTAACTAGAATTCTAGGCCTCTAATATTGGATAACTCATTTCGGTAAATAACCGAGCCTATAAGTTGGAAATACATGACTGCCTCTTCTTACTTCTTTTATTAGCTGTTAAATATTATATCGTACAAAATAAAGACAACAACACAAAACAACAACATTAAATTTAAACACTAGTTCTTGTGATTGAACTGTTTTTCTATAGGAATTTGTTGAATAATTCTGAAAAAAGAAAACTGTGTCAACCTCTTTGCACATGTTTAAAATGTCTTCTTAGCTGCGATATGTGGTTCTCAAGTGCCTGATTTCTATAACTGAAGGTAGAGACAGAATGGAATACTTACATAATGTGGGGAGAATCTCCTATCATAATCTTTTACTGCTACAACACCGGCTTTTCCTGGAGCACTTGTATAAGCAGTCTGATGAGAGATAAATACATAGAGATTAGTGTAATATGGTGGTCAGTGCTACTCCGTATTGCTCTTACAGACACTGCACAGACATAAGTATTGAAACTAGGATTTCTTGCTTCAGACAAAATTCAAAAAAAGAAAGAAAAAAATCAGTCCACTATGCAAAAATATTGAGTTAAAAAAGGCTAGTGTTTTCAACAAATAGACAAGGATCAAGCACTCCCACTTGGATCCTTATTCCTTACACAATGCCGAAATACAATTATGAGGAATGTTATCTTTCCTAACAAACTGCATATTTTGCAATTATATACACTATTGATACATGTACACATAGACTTTCAGGGACATTAGTTTCTTTTTAAAAGTATGCAAGCACTATGAAAGTCAATGCTATTTCATTATCATAGAAATAAATGTACAGAAAAATGAACTGGCCATTTCCCACTTTGTTTTCTCTTTACAATATACTCATTACAACAGATAAGCAAATTTCAAGTTTGCAGTTGGATAGAGATATGGACCCGAAACGTTAATCAGTATTCTAAAGGCCCCAACACATACCCTAGCTTCTGATCCTTCTGATGGGACATAGGTGACGGTGGCGTGTGTGACGTTGTAAAAGCCGTTCTTGAGAGGCTGGAGGATGACTGCGTGGGTCACGTTGCTGGCCGGTGAGATGCGATCCCACTGGACCTTCAGCTGACCGCTGACCACGGCGAAATCACTCTCGGCAAAGGACTCGTCGTTGAGGACAACCTGGGATGCAGCACTGTTTGTTGGATGAGAAGAAACAATACAGGGTATACGTGTGGACTAATCAGAAGAATATATGTTATTTAACAATAATGCCTGAGAGCTTATCTATTCTGATAATCAACTGTAGCTCTCACATAATATAACACAAATTTTATTGCTGTACCATAGGGACAATATCCTTTGATTAATTACATAGGAGGGGAAAAATACCACATGATAGTCCTTAAATTACTATGGTACATCATCTCTATCAGTTGATGGAACTACAGACAACTATACTTGTGATAAATAAAGTTGGACTTCATATATTTAAAAAATTAGTCTTTTAAATACAAGATAACAAGGTAATTATTGTCACAAATTCGTAAACGAATGCTTTTTTCACAACAGACTTAGCGAACTGCAAAAGTCTGTGTTGTGGTAGTTACTATTTCAGAATTTTTGTGTTATGAAACTTTTGCAAGTCAGAAACACTCGCAAAATTCAGAACAACAACGTATTATGCCCACCAATGTTTCTACTTCCCGATCTTACAATTACAGCAGCTGGAGCCTTCCTTCCAAAACTAAGATTTTCAACATTTAATGGAAAACTGACTCGGAATAAATAGAATAAAAAGGAAATTGATGATATTTACCTGCTTCCAACATTGTAGATGGTATAGAGCACAGTCATGTCCCTGCCTTCCACCAACCATTGGTTCAAGAGAGTCTTGGAGGCCAAGAGTTTAGCCCCATCCTGGGCACTGGATAGTGCCACGAGGCAGGCAAATGCTATGAACAGTGCAGCCTTCATCTGGAGAGAAAACCAAAATAAATAAATCAAAATTAAATTACAAGCTAACAAGTCTCACATAAAGTTGAAGGTACAAGTTTCTATGCATGCTAAATATGATGATTTTAATTTAACTCCATAGATTAGATAATATAGATGTTGATAGATTACATGTACAGTATAAGCTTGGCTTCTACATTATTGTTGGAGATACTTGGAAAGTAGAAACAAAATAAATAATGTTTGCTGAGTGCAAGGTTCTCTTGATTAAAACAAAAGAAAAAAGAAAAGAAAAGACAATGTGAGCAAAATGTTGTTATGTAAATGAATGAAAAATGACAAGAGAGAACACCCACTAAAAGAGTAAAAATCTCCATGTAGAAGTAGAAGTTAGATGTAAAATAATGACATGGAATGATATTTTGCTTACACAAGTTAGAGATTTCCTACAGATTTTTTTGAATGATACCAATATTTTTCACGCTATGGTCGACCAGCTAAACACAAGTACACAGCAATCCAAACGAGGTGAGTTCTGAGCAATTGTAGTACCTTAATTTTCAGAAGCATGGGTGCATGGGTAAGGGATTTTCAGGGACTTCTTTTTTTTTGTCAAACCCAACTTGTGTATATTGGGCAATTCCTAGATGAGAGCAAACAGCAATTCTCTCTTCTAGGGTGTAATCCAGCCTACTCAATTGGTCAGGCTTCGTCACCAACTTTATTAAGCTACATAACATGTTTCTCGTCCTTGCCCGCTTGGCCAGCTATATTTAGCATGGCGGCCATCTTGGAGGAAAAAATAGCAAAAAAACGAGAAACATTATTTTTGTTATTTGGCATTACCAGTAGGCGTAAGAAAATAACCCGTTCACCATCTACTTTATGGGTGGTCCATCTTCTCAAGGATTTATCGCTCATAATCTGAAAGTCTCTGTAAAATGCATGAAGAAAATCATCGCGGAATCCGTTTTTCACATCGCCAACGTGCGGATTGGAAACATGAAGCGTCTGCGAAAATGTGTACGATCATTGTTTTAGCAGTTGCGTTTATGCAGACGATCCTTATTCTCAGGCCAGCGCCTATTGATTATAATACATGGAAACCCTAAAAGATATCCTAAAATAAACTTATCCATGACCATGCACAAGGTTTTGCATACTCTAATTTAGCTTATTTTTAGTATCTAGATTCAATTTTAATATAATTTCATTTTGGCTAAGCTGGATCAGTGATCAGAAATTAAATGAAAATTGAAATCGCCACTCTCATAAAAATAGTTCAAATTCCACAGCAACAACACCCATCCACTAGATAATACAATACATTTATCACCAGAGGATTAATATAGACTATATAAATATATTAACATGATTTTTAAGTTATAAGCTTCCCATCAATATCAGTCAATTGATGTTGGAAATTGAATTCTGGTTAGCATAAATACCTTTTACAATCATGACGCAGATTTCCATATGTGGGACTCGACAAAACTCAATGGGCAAGATCACTCATGGATAATGTTTTAATTTGCTTATGCCTGGCTCTCTTGATATCAGCCGTTCTTCGTTCATCACATCTCAAAGAATATTAAAGGGGATAAACCCATCAACAGTTAGTAACTTAAGTTAGATTGATATAAATTATCATTACTTGTAAGAAAAGATTTTCACATACCTTCACGTGTAAATGTCTGCAACAAGAAGTTGCCACTCAGGCGTTTTCTGATTGGTCAGAATTTTCAGCTTAGGCAAAGGAAGTCTCGTTCTAACATGTTTAAATCTATTTTATTTTAGTCTTAATTTTGTCATCATACAATTTCAAAATAAGACATTTAAATATATGATATAAATTTTTTAAATAATTTAATGATTTTCATTATAAAAAACTGATAAAAAAGGGAAAAAAATATGTGGTTCGATTGGGTTGCTCAAGTCAGCTACCGAAAAGAAAAGCGCCGGGTGATCTTGGAAATATGATTTACCAATTTGACAAGTGGACATTCATCACTGATTACCAACAACAAAGAAAGGGAACAAAATAGTTGACTGACTCTACATTGTTTATTTCTGAAACAGGAAAAAGATAGACACTTTGAAAATAAAATATCAACTGAGTTCAAGTTAAATTAATTGATGACAAATATATCTCTTGCCTTGCAAGTAAAATTAAATCACAAAGAAATTGCACTTTGGCCCAGTGCGTGGGGAAGTTTTGCAGGGTCTGAGGGGTGCACTATAGCTGCCATTTAGTTCCAAAAAGGAGTGCTATCTTACTTGATACATTCCTTCTTTATTTACTTATCAATTACATCATATATCTCACAGTCCAGGCGCGGATCCAGGATTTCTTGGGGGGGGGGGCAAATTTGAAATCAATTTGAATTTGAAAATCACGCCGGCCGATAATTCGCACCCACCCCTTTGAGCGCCAGGGGAGGGGCCCATCTCCAAAAAAAAGGTAAAATTAATGTGTTTTTACACGTTTTTTCCCGGCCCCCAGGCCCCGGGCCCCCCTCCCCTGGATCCACCACTGCATATAAATACAGTTTCTGCCCTTTCAAAAAATTACCATAGTACACAGTATTTTGGCATCGGTACTATATACCATGGTACTACCATGATAGTACCCAGTGGCGTACGCAGGATTTTTTCAAGGGGGGGGTTTTAAAATCGGGTCCAAAATTTCGCAACGACTCAGGAAAATTTGAAAATTGCGCCGGCCAAAAAGTCGCTCAGTGGGGGGGGGGGGGGGGGGGGGGGGGGGGGTAAGCGGACACTTTTTTTGGGGGGGGGGGAGTTAAAAAAAAAAATCGCAACGACTCAGCCAGCCGAAAAGTCGCTCAGTGGAGGGGGGGGGGGGGGGGGGGGGGGGGGGGGGGGGGGGGGTAAGCGGAATTTTTTTTTTTTTTTTTTGGTCCCCAAAAAATCGCAACGACTCAACCGACCGCTGAATAAGCGGGGGGGAGGGGGGGGGGGGGGGGGGGGGTAAGAGGAAACTTCTTTTTTTTTTTTGGTCTCGAAAATTTGAAAATTTGACATTTTGCTCCGTTGGGGGGGGGGGGGGTAAGGTCACCTTTCTTAGGTCAGCCATGGGGGTAATTTTTTTTTTTTTTTTTTAAATAATAAAAAAAAAAAAAATAATAATAATAATAATCCAAAGGGGGGGGGGGGTTTTAAGGATTTTTTAGGGGGGTTTACACACATAAAAATACCAAAGGGGGGGGGGGTTAACCCCCCAAACACCCTCCCCCCCCCCCCCCCCCTGCGTACGCGCCTGGTAGTACCAGGCGAGGATCAATGGGCCGATTCTACCAGCCATGCCCCCCCCCCCAGCCCCCCAAAACGGTTTTAAAAAATAGGATTTGAACGTTTAAAAAATAAAAATTCTCAAGATTTGGGCACCCCCCCCCCCCCCCCCCCCCCACCTCTTGCCGCAGGCTGGATCCGCCCCATAATATATCTTCTTCTTCTTCTTCTTCTTCTTCTTCTTCTTCTTCTTCTTCTTCTTCAAGATAATCTGCCTCCTTCAATACTGAAGATTCTTGCAGATGCCGTATACTCGGCCTGGTTGGGGTATGCAGGTGGACCATTACACCGGGGTTTCCCCGTGCAATGGGTGCAAGGGTGCAAGGGTGGTGACTCTCCTGTACACGGGGCCTCCATTTAACGTCCTATCCGAGGGACATGGTAGGACTGTCTGAATCATGTTGTTTTTTTGTAAGCCGTGCCTTATTGTCTATTGACTTTGGATGGCACAGGGCAAAATATATAGCAGACCAGCGCTGCAGTGAGAAACCTAAGCAAGCAATCAAAACCTGGCAACTAGTGTATGCAATTTATAGTTAAATATTGGCATCTTACATTAACCCTCATTATTAACTTTCTTAATTACTTCATAAGTGAAAATCATTATTTATACAGGTATAGGCCTACATCTATTTGCAATATCATACCCATTTGTTGTTATGTTCTCTAGTTTAAACAAAAAATAATGCAGAAATGACTTAGAAAATGCCATCCTAGGTACCTAAACTCTCGCAATATGTATATGTATTACATGTATATGTAGGTCTACATGCACAGGCGTGGATCCAGGGGGGGGGGGGGGGCGTCGTTAATTTAACCCTTTTTAACAAATACTTAAAACCCCCTAAAAATATTAGTGTTTCTTTCTTTCCACCCCCCCCCCCCCTGCTTATTAACCGGCTGGATGATTCGCTGCTAAATATTGCCTCACAACTTGGACCCCCCAAAAAAAAGTTTGAAGAGTGAACAAATCGTAACCAAATAACAATAACGATAATGATAACCAAAGACGATAATAACAATAATAATTTTAATAATTATAATGATAGTAGTGAGAATTTTTTTTTTTCAGTAAATAGTAACAAAATAAAAATCATGAAATAATATAAATCTGAAAGCCGACTAGTGGATTCTTTATTCACATCGCTAAATGATTTGTATATTGGCCATACATAGAGCGCTGCGTTAACGAATGTTAGTCGATAATTTCAATTTCGGCATATGTTTAGCTTCGCAACGCATACCGATGGTGTGTAGACTAACCCCTACCTGCTCATCGTAAGTAAATATATCTTGATTATTATGATATGCAGTGATCAATTGTATGATAAATTAAACATATAGATTGTTGAAATTTAGATTATGTGTATGGGTAGTCAATCAGTAGATTTTAAAACTCTTAATTAGGAATTAGGTGAGCCGCTCCCTGGCTGAGCTGAGCAGAGCCAGAGGCGGCCAGGAAAAGGTAGGCGACCGCGACCCCAACCGTGGCGGGGTCTGGCAGCGCCGGTGAATGGGCGTCGAGCAGTGCGCGGACAGCCGGAATTACACGTAACGATAATATATCTATGATTTCTGTTGTTACCACTAAAACGTTGCTGATATGTTGACATTTGTGTGTGAGAATGAGGATCGTCTGCATAAACAAGGAAACACGGACAAAATAAGTTGTTTTTTCTTTGGTGCTCTTCGGGTAAATCGGGTTTCACTTTCAGGTTCCCGATCCGCGCGCCGGCAATGGGAAAAATGGAATCCGCATAATAAAATGCCCCCAGTTCACTGTCTATGTATTAACGGTCGTCCGTTTTCCCGACTCCCGAGGATATATCGCTCTTAACGGAATTCGCTTCCGCATCATCAACGCGCGGATCGGAAATTGGAATCGTTATTTTTTTCCGGACGCATCTGTCCGCGTTTACGAAGACAATCCTTATTCTCAGACCAGTGCCCCTACTGATGTATATCGTCAAAATAGAAACATTTTTTACAGTTGGTGTGTACGCAAATCTATGTGCATACAAAGACAAATTCTGGAAGTTTTGTCTTGCGTCTGTTTTTGATATTCGACATGGGTCTGTTTCATCCCCCCCCCCCCCCCCCCCTACGTTGCATCATGGTTGCATGGCCTTATTTAATCAAAGTCATCCAAGAATTAGTTTCTGAAAATTTCTATTTTGTTGAGTAAATTGGCCATTGCTTACAATTTATCAGGATCGTAATATCCCAGTCACTAAATCTTTTTGAAAAATCACTTTCTAAACAATTACACATGAACATGTAGATCTATTTACATGTAGGCCTAGATCTATACAATTTTAACTAAAAGTGTCTTTTTTTTGCTTTTTTTAATATAAGATATTCAACTCGTACCTCGTTTTCCAAATTTTGAAACAAATTTCTCAATAATTTAATTGGAGAGAAAAGTTTTGAACTTGCCGTTGTCATGCTTGTAGATTCCTTCTTTATCAAGTTTACTTGAGACTCGATCTAGAGATTTGACTTCCATTTCTCTAGGTCTGCATAATGTTGGATCTAAATAAACAGTGCTGTCAAAAATGCACTAGATTTACATGCAATTTATGTGATCAACATGTATGTTGCATGGAGTGGGCAAATTTTGTCCTATTCAGTTCCAAAACCACTGTCATTTCTGTTGCCCCTCTGTGATTTTGTTTTTCCTCCATGTGTTCTTTGAGTTGGCTTTTGCAGTAACTTCAAAGGGATTTTTAAAAAGAAGAAGGAAATGCTAGTTGTGTTAGTTGTTGGCTTCATCTTGAGCCTAAATTTGTATCTATAAGTTCATTTTAGCTGATTAGTTTTATTTGTTTATATTTTTTTATTATGCAGAGAACATGATGGTGAGGAAGTTCCTAAAACCAGTCATTCAAGATGGAGACTTTTACTGATGATGAAAATGGCCAAGGTGGAGACTTTCAGAGTGGAGAAAAACTTGTTTTTGACATCAACGATTTAGATGAAACCCCAAATGATACATCAAGCAAAGCAAGTGAGGACGATCCTGGCTTATTGAAGGAAGAAGAAGAAGATGCTGATGAGAATAAAGAAGAGGAGAAGACTTTGAAACTTCCTGAGAGCGATGGCGATGTAGATGCATCTGTACAGATTGTTACATCCCTCGTAGAAGACATTGATGTCAATAGTGAGTACATGTACAATAATTGGTACACCGGTAGTGGAAAGTCAGAAGATGGAAGGAGTGACGAGGATGCAAGGAGCAACACAGTGACGTTGGAGGAAGATGGACAGACACTGGTTTCTGATCAGGCACCAAGCGAGCATAAAGGTTCAAGGAAAAATTCTACACAGGAAGAGTTGGAATTGGAGGAAAAGGAGGAGATGGCTGAAAAAGAGGATAATGTCGATGGAACTGATATCCCTGTTAGAGTGGACACTGTAAATGAAATTGAACATGTAGAAGAGTCTTTGGAAATAAGTTCTCCACC